TATTTGAAGCTGCTGGTGCATCTGGAGTCCCACGGACATCAAGGTGTAGAGTCCTCCAGAGTCTTGCAACTGTGCATAAACCTTCTAATCGGGCCACCACTAACCAATGCTCACAAGCAGAAACGGCTGCATTGGGCAGACAAATATATGAAGACTAATTTTCAAACAGTCCTGTTCCCTGATGAGTGCCGTGCAACCCTGGATGGTCCAGATGGATGGAGTAGTGGATGGTTGGTGGACGGCCACCCTGTTCCAACAAGGCTGCGACGTCAGCAAGGCGGTGGTGGAGTCATGGTTTGGGCTGGAATCATGGGAACAGAGCGGCTCAGGCCCCTTTAGGGTCCCTGAAGGTGTAAAGATGACCTCTGCAAAGTATGTGGAGTTTATGACTGACCACTTTCTTCCCTGGTACAGAAGGAAGAACTATGCTTTCCATAATAAAATCATCTTCATGCATGACAATGCACCATCTCATGCTGCAAAGAATACCTCTGCATCAATGGCTGCTATGGGGATAAAAGGAGAGAAAGTCATGGTGTGGCCTCCATCCTCCCCTGACCTCAATCCTATTGAGAACCTTTGAAGCATCCTCAAGCAAAAGATCTATGAGGGTGGGAGGCAGTTTACATCCAAACAGCAGCTCTGGGAGGCTATTCTGACATCTTGCAAACAAATTCAAGCAGAAACTGTCCAAAAACTCACAAGTTCAATGGATGCCAGACTTGGGAGGCTGCTATCAGATAAGGGGTCCTATGTTACAATGTAACGTGACCGCTTCAAATGTTTAAAAAGTTAAAACGTTAAAAGTTTCATTGAAATAGCTTTTGATTTCAGTAAATATCTGCTGCAAACACAACAAATGACAATTTTCAGTTCTTTACAACCTATAAAGTGTTTTGAAACTTACATTGTAACAGTCATTGTAAGTGTTTTATGTTTAACAAAAAATCCTGTTATTAAGAGTAAAATTCAAATTTTATTGAATTTGAAAAACTCCTAATAGTTGATAACATGAGAATTCTGCCGACTGTTATTTACATCAATTTAGGTAAATGAGAAAATATAATTTCCATAATAATTTGGAACAGGGTGTATGGACCTTGCTTTGTGCACTGGTGCGCAGTCATGTTGGAACAGGAAGGGGCCATCCCCAAACTCTTCCCAAGACATTTTGGAGCATGAAATTGTCCAAAATGTCTTGGTATGCTGACGCCTTAAGAGTTCCCTTCACTGGAACTAGAGGGCCAAAACTAACCCCTGAAAAAACCCCACACCATAGTCCCCCCCCTCCACCAAACTTTACACTTGGCACAATGCATTCAGGCAAATACCATTCTCCTGGCCACTGCCAAACCCAGACACGTGCATCAGATTGCCAGACCGAGAAGTGCGATTCACCACTCCAGAGAAAACATCTCCACTGCTCTAGAGTCCAGTGGCGGCGTGCTTTACACCACAGCATCCAACGCTTTGCATTGCACTTGGTGATGGAAGGCTTGGATGCAGCTGCTCAGCCATGGAAACCCATTCCATGGAGCTCTCTGCGCACTGTTGTGCTAATCTGAAGGCCACTCGAATTTTGGAGGTCTCTAGCTATTGACTCTGCAGATAGCGACTTCTGCGCACTTCAGCACGAGCTGACCCCGCTCTGTCATGTTACGTGGCCTACCACTTGGTGGCTGAGTTGCTGTTGTTCCCAGTTGCTTCCACTTTGTTATAATCCCACTAACAGTTGAGCGTGGAATATTTAGTGACCAGGAAATGTCACGGATGGACTTATTGCACAGGTGGCCACCTATCACGGGACCACGCTTGGAGTCACTGAGCTCCTGAGAGCGACCCATTCTTTCACCAATGTTTGTAGAAGCAGTCTGCATGCCTCGGGGCTTGATTGTATACACCTGTGGACATGGAGGTGATTGGAACACCTGAATCACATGATTTGGAGGGCTGGCCAATACTTTAGGCAATATTGTGTATATGTATCATATATGCATGCTATTTACTTGAACAAAGCCTCCCTTGTGTAAACATCCAAAAACCCTGAGCCTGCTACTGGGTTCCGCCACCTTGAATGATGTCAGCAGCCCCAGCAGTGTCAGAGTTGCCTCTCAAGTCACATTCTAACAGTCTCTCAACCTTTTTAAACTGGAGGAACCTTGAAATAATAATTTAGTTCTCGTGGAATCCCCAAAAAAAAAAAAAAAAAAATATATATACATACATATATATATATATATATATATATATATATACACACACACACACACACAGTTGCAAGAAAAAGTATGTGAACCCCTTGGGATTACGTGGAGTTTTGCATGAATTGGGCATAAAATGTGCTCTGATTGTCATCTAAGTCACAACAATAGAAGAACACAGTCTGCTGCTGAACATAATACTACACAAAACATTAGATGTTGCCATGGTTTAATTGCACATAACATGTAAACATTCACAGTGCAGGGAGGAAGAAGTATGTGAACCTTTGGACTTAATAACTGGTTGACCCTCCTTTGGCAGCAATAACCTCAACCAAACGTTTCCTGTAGTTGCAGATCAGACCTGCACAACGATCTGGAGTCATTTTGGACCACTCCTCTTCACAAAAACTGTTTCAGTGTAGCAATATTCTTGGGATGTCTGGTGTGAATCGCTCTTAAGGTCATGCCACAGCATTTCAATCGGGTTGAAGTCAGGACTCTGACTGGGCCACTCCAGAAGGCGTATTCTGTGCTGTTGCAGCCATTGTTTTGTTGAATTACTTGTATGCTTTGGGTCATTGTCCTGTTGCATCTCCCATCCTCTGCGGAGCTTCAGTTGGCGGACAGATGGTCGTACGTTTTCCTGCAAAATGTCTTGATAAACTCTGGTTCTCATTTTCCCATCAATGACAACAATCCGTCCAGGCCCTGAGGCAGCAAAGCAGCCCCAAACCATGATGCTCCCTCCGCCATGTTTTACAGTGGGGATGAGGTTTTGATGTTGGTGTGCTGTGCCTTTTTTTCTCTCCACACATAGTGTTGTGTGTTCTTCCCAAACAACTCAATCTTGGTTTCATCTGTCCACAGTATATTTTGCCAGTAGTGCTGTGGAACATCCAGGTGCTCTTTTGCAAACTTCAAACGTGCTGCAATATTCTTTTTGGACAGCAATGGCTTCCTCCGTGGTGTCCTCCCATGTACTCCATTCTTGTTTAATGTTTTCCTTATTGTAGATGTGTCAACAAAAATGTTAGCATGTGCCAGAGATTTCTGTAGGTCTTTAGCTGACACTCTGGGATTCTTCTTTACCTCATGCAGCATTCTGCGCTGTGCTCTTGCAGTCATTTTTACAGGACGACCGCACCTAGGGAGAGTAGCAACAGTGCTAAACTTTCCCCATTTGTAGACAGTCTGTCTTACCGTGGACACATGAACATCAAGGCTTTTGGAGATACTTTTGTAACCCTTTCCAGCTTCATGCAAGTCAACAATTCTTGATGGTAGGTCTTCTGAGAGCTCTTTTCTGCGAGGCATGGTTCACATCAGACAGTGCTTCTTGAAACCAGTAAACCCAAAACAGGTGTGTGTTTTTTAAGGGCAGGACAGCTGTCAGCAACACATCCAATATCATCACACTGATTGGAGTCAAGCTTGGCTCACTCCTGGCTCCAATTAGCTCTGGGAGAAGTCATTAAGCTAGGGCCTCACATACTTTTTCCTCCCTGCACTGTGAATGTTTACATGTTATGTGAAATTAAACCATGGCAACATCTAATGCTTGTGTAGTATTATGTTCAGCAAACTGTGTTCTTCTATTGTTGTGACTTAGATGACGTTCAGAGCACATTTTATGCCCAATTCATGCAAAACTCCACGGAATCCCAAGGGGTTCACATACTTTTTCTTGCAACTGTATGTATGTGTATATATATATATATATATATATATATATATATATATATATATATATATATATATAAATATAAAATATATATATATATATATATATATATATATATATATATATATATATATATATATATATATATATATATATATATATATCTGGGTGCGAGTAGACAAAATGCCTCCATTAGTGGTCGGTGGGAAGAATGCTCCCCATGCAGTGGTGGCCAAAATGCCACAATTACAGACATCTAGGAAGGCCATTGATATCCAGCAGCTGGTTCTGCCGAGTGGCATTAACTCCAGAACTGTCCAAGTAGTCAAATCAGAGTTCAACTAGTCACAACTCAAGCAACCTCTGGGAGGAACCCTTGGGTTCCATGGAACCTTGGTTGGGAATGGCTGCTCTGCAGTATTCCCATTCACACCTCTCTAGCAGCTGCATAAAAATGTATGCTGGATAGTGAAAGAAGGGTCAGAGGAGCTGGGCCAGCAAAGTCATTAGACACTCCCATTAGAGGAGAGGACCACGATGTGGCAGGGAGGGAGGAGGAACTGTGGCTGTGCCATTGACTCTTTCTGGAATGGTTAAATTCTTTAACAAGTTCAAAGGCACACGGCAAGTGAATAAACAATCATTTTTGGAAGGAAAAGCACAAGTATCCGTTCGTGAAGTACTTGATTATTTTTTTTCTTATCTTGCTTTTACCTGCAATTCTTTAAGTTGGTGGCAGGGTCTCCCCTAATCCGATACAGTACCACACGACAGTAGTGCAGGATACTGCTCCAAGCAGACATTGGTCTCACGGTCCCTGACCCCAGGTGCCTGACCGTAGTGTCCTTCCTCCGGCATACAGAATCCTAATACAAACTGACTTCCACCAGGGATTTTCCAGCCTTCTGGCTATTCTACCACACCACTGGGTCTGCTCTGGCTGCAAGCCTGTTCCAGCACAGACAACTCTCAGATGTCGGTTTGGGTGCTGAACATTCAGGCTTCACAAGGCTACTTTTATCTCACAGCAGTCTCCAACTCTTGTTCACATCAAAGATCTGTCTGGTTCAGGTGCCTGTCAAAGTTTAAGCGGCTTATCCTCAACTTTAATTTAAAATAAAGTGTTACTAAACCCCGGACCCCGCATTCACTATAGCCGGCTCTCCCGCGGACCCCGCATTCACTATAGCCGCCTCTCCCGCGGACCCCGCATTCACTATAGCCGGCTCTCCCGCGGACCCCGCATTCACTATAGCCGGCTCTCCCGCGGACCCCGCATTCACTATAGCCGCCTCTCCCGCGGACCCCGCATTCACTATAGCCGCCTCTCTCCCGCGGACCCCGCATTCACTATAGCCGCCTCTCCCCGCGGACCCCGCATTCACTATAGCCGCCTCTCCCCGGACCCCGCATTCACTATAGCCGCCTCTCCCGCGGACCCCGCATTCACTATAGCCGCCTCTCCCGCGGACCCCGCATTCACTATATCCGCTCTCCCCGGACCCCGCACTCACTATATCCGCTCTCCCCGGACCCCGCATTCACTATATCCGCTCTCCCCGGACCCCGCATTCACTATATCCGCTCTCCCCGGACCCCGCATTCACTATATCCGCTCTCCCCCGGACCCCGCATTCACTATATCCGCTCTCCCCGGACCCCGCATTCACTATATCCGCTCTCCCCGGACCCCGCATTCACTATATCCGCTCTCCCCGGACCCCGCATTCACTATATCCGCTCTCCCCGGACCCCGCATTCACTATATCCGCTCTCCCCGGACCCCGCATTCACTATATCCGCTCTCCCCGGACCCCGCATTCACTATATCCGCTCTCCCCGGACCCCGCATTCACTATATCCGCTCTCCCCGGACCCCGCATTCACTATATCCGCTCTCCCCGGACCCCGCATTCACTATATCCGCTCTCCCCGGACCCCGCATTCACTATATCCGCTCTCCCCGGACCCTGCATTCACTATATCCGCTCTCTCCGGACCCTGCATTCACTATATCCGCTCTCTCCGGACCCTGCATTCACTATATCCGCTTTCCCCGGACCCTGCATTCACTATATCCGCCTCCATAGTCCTATGAGACTGCTAAACCCCGACCCTGTCTGGAGAGTGTTGATTGACCCTGTGGTGATTACATGCAGCCTCCCAAAAACTCTAGCCATACAAACTAAACTGAGCATGTGCAGTGACTCCTAGAGCTCTGTATTAGCAGGTGGATTTGGGACAGTAGAAGGGGCGGATCAGAGAAGACCGGATCAAACAGCCTTCAGTTCCACAGTGAGTATATCAAGCATGTTTTACTGCATATACAGACTGATTTTATTGCTGTGGGATTAGTAACACTTTAAACCTTCCATTTCATACCTTATTTTAGTCACAGTGATGTCATTACTGGGTCTCTGTGCTGCTCTATGCACTGCAGGCAGATCATGGATGGTGGGAAAGGCTGGCAGGGTGCTGTACATAGCTTCCCTGAAGACATCAGCAGCAGCATCTTCTCAGGAGGCCCTAGACCTGATGCAAGCAATGGGCTGGCTCTTGGAAGAGTTCTGCTATATTAAAAATGTGCTAATGGGTGAGTGTCAGTCTGGGGAAGTGGGTGTCTAGGCAGACTATTTCCATGCAGACTGCCAGAGGTAATGCACATGTATGATGCTGAACCTCCATGACTGGAAGAAAAAAAAAAAAAAAAAAAACGAAAGGAAAGGGATGGGCCAGGGAAAGTCATGCTGGAAGGAAAGGGCTAGTCCTCCAGCCAGGAATTGAGGCGGGCTCTATCAGGCTTCCTGCAGTTTCTAAAGTACAATGTAAGGAGCTCACAGTGTGCAGTAACATCAAGGTAAGCAATCTAGGCAGAGAAGAGCTGATACACATCTCCAAAATCCTGAAAAAATATGAGTGCATGCAATAACCACACACAAACACACGTGATTTTGAATGTTTGAATGTCACGGTAGGGGGCGCGCATGCCCTTCCGGCGCTGCCATTCAAGGCTGCAACTGTCAATCACCGGATCCTGGCCAGTGATTACTCGAAGGCGCCCAGTGATTGCTGAGCATCTCCGACGGAAGGGAGAACTGTTTGTAAACAAAACAGTTCTCCCCCCTATCAGCTCCTGCACACTGCTTTGCATGGCTCTGCTACGCAGAGCCATGCAAAGCAGTGTACCTACAGTGAAACACAAACATAACACACTTTGTAAAACAGCACACAGTTACCCTTTGATCACCCCTCAAATTAGCCCCTTCCTGCCCAGTGCCATTACTACAGTGTCAGTGCTTTTTATTAGCACCGATCACTGTATTGGTGTCACTGGGGATGTCAGTAGCACCAAGTCTGTTCCCCCCAATGCCAGAATGCCCACCGCAGTCCCGCTATAAGTCACTGATTGCCGCCATTACTAGTAAAAAAAAAAAAAAAAAAAACACACACACACTATAACTTTCACGTAAACCAATTTACACACAGTGGGATTTTTTTTCTTTTTAGCAAAGACATGTAGCAGAATACATTTTGGTTTAAATGTATGATGAAATTTAATTTTTAAAACTTATTTACTGGACAGGTTTTATAGCAAATTGTCAAAAAAAAAAAAAAAAAAAGTTAAATTTCATTTGGGTGCAGTGTTGCATGACTGCGCAATTGTCCCACAGTGTCCTCACACCGGCCAGGTTGACCGGCATTCCTGTCCCCACGGTGCCGGCATCTTCAGTGTGGGCATTCAACTGTGACAGCTTGCGGCTTCACTGCGCATGTGTGAGAAACGCAAATGGCTCCGTAGTCTTCTGGAACCGGTCACGTGTCCCGAAGACTATGGGGGGTGGGGTTGGGGGGGAGAGGACAACTTCCACTTCCGATAGCCTAGTCACAGCAGAAGTGGGAGCAGGTACCTGTCAATTTCAGGTACCCACTCCCCAAAAATGCCAATCCTTAACAGGGAGTGGGGGACAAAGGCTTAAAGCGGAACTTCCCCTTTTGGGTGGAGCTCCGCTTTAAGTGGGTGTAAACCTCAGATATGAAATATGAGCAGAGCATATCCCTCTTATAGTGTCCCTTCCCTCCAATCAGCTCTAAGAGCTCTCCTCATTGAGCCCTGTAGAGTAATTTTAGCTCTGCCCCCTTTCCCTAATTTTAGCTCTGCCCCCTTTCCCTAATTTTAGCTCTGCCCCCTTTCCCTAATTTTAGCTCTGCCCCCTTTCCCTAATTTTAGCTCTGCCCCCTTTCCCTAATTTTAGCTCTGCCCCCTTTCCCTAATTTTAGCTCTGCCCCCTTTCCCTAATTTTAGCTCTGCCCCCTTTCCCTAATTTTAGCTCTGCCCCCTTTCCCTAATTTTAGCTCTGCCCCCTTTCCCTAATTTTAGCTCTGCCCCCTTTCCCTAATTTTAGCTCTGCCCCCCCCTTTCCCTAATTTTAGCTCTGCCCCCTTTCCCTAATTTTAGCTCTGCCCCCTTTCCCTAATTTTAGCTCTGCCCCCTTTCCCTAATTTTAGCTCTGCCCCCTTTCCTAATTTTAGCTCTGCCCCCTTTCCCTAATTTTAGCTCTGCCCCCTTTCCCTAATTTTAGCTCTGCCCCCTTTCCCTAATTTTAGCTCTGCCCCTTTCCCTAATTTTAGTCTGCCCCCTTTCCCTAATTTTAGCTCTGCCCCCTTTCCCTAATTTTAGCTCTGCCCCCTTTCCCTAATTTTAGCTCTGCCCCCTTTCCCTTTTTTCAGCTCTGCCCCCTTTCCCTTTTTTCTGACAGCTCAGAAAAGCTTTATAAATTCTGGACTTTAAATGGATGTAGAGAAGACTGCAGATGAACAGGTGCAACTTATGTAGGAGGATTTCATCTCTGTATCACCTGAGGCCAGTCACATTACTTATGTCATTGACATTACTGGAAATCTATAAAGACAGATGGGAGCAATGGAGTGTATTTTCTACTTTCCCTTCGATGGGCTTTAAACACGTCTTGCCTTTTGCCGTTGGCTACTACGGCTTGGGTTGGCCCTAGAAATGAAAGGTCACGGTCCTGGCAGAGTATGAAAGATTTACAGTGGTGGCGTATTACCTCATTTGCCCAACTGACATAACGAGTCCAGATGGCCGGGCGGCTATGGGAGCTCTCATGAAACAGAGAGGAGGTGTCAAATCTCTCAAATTTCAAACTACTTGAGGAAAATTGACTGTTCAACAGGTGCCGAGGGAGGGAGTCGTACAAACGCGGCGGGAGACCATCAGTTAGAAATGCAAAAGGTTTTACAGGAACAATTTTCTACAGAACACATTGGGGGTTGATTTACTAAAAACTGGAGAGTGCAAAATTCTGGTGCAGCTCTGCATAGAAACCAATCAGCTTCCAGATTGTCAAAGCTCAACCACTTACCTACAGGGCACTTCTACCCCCTCAAAGGGCACTTCTACCCCCTTCCTGCCCACCGGGCACCTACCCCCTTCCTGCCCACCGGGCACTTCCACCCCCTCCCTGCCTACAGGGCACTTCCACCCCCTCCCTGCCTACAGGGCACTTCCACCCCCTCCCTGCCTACAGGGCACTTCCACCCCCTCCCTGCCCACAGGACACTTCCACCCCCTCCTGCCCACAGGACACTTCTACCCTTCCTGCCCACAGGACACTTCTACCCCCTTCCTGCCCACAGGACACTTCTACCCCCTTCCTGCACCGGACACTTCTACCCCCCTTCCTGCCTACAGGACACTTCTACCCCCTTCCTGCCTACAGGACACTTCTACCCCCTTCCTGCCTACAGGACACTTCTACCCCCTTCCTGCCCAGGTCAATCTTCAGCTTTCAGCGCTGTTGCACTTTGAGTGACAATAGCGGTCATGCAACACTGTACCTACATGAAAGTTTTATCTTTTTTTTCACACACAAATAGAGCCTTTTGGTGGTATGTACTCGCCGCTGGGGGTTTTATTTTTTGCGCTATAAACAAAAAAAAAAAAAAAAAAATTATCTTTGTTTCTATTATAAAATTTTGCAAACGGGTAATTTTTCTCCTTCGCTGATGTGCAACAATGAGGCTGCACTGATGTGCAACAATGATGGGCACTAATCCACCTCACCAACCGCTCCACATCCGCCTCCCCCCTCTGCCAATCCCTTCACTGGCTCCCGATTGCCCAACGCATCAAATTCAAACTAACTCTGACCTACAAAGCCATTCACAACGCCACCCCAAACTATATAACTGACCTGATACCCAAATACCACCCCACCCGTGCCCTCCGCTCCTCACAGGACGTCCTACTCTCTAGCTCCCTGGTCTCCTCCTCCCACGCCCGATTGCAGGACTTCCCCCATCCTCTGGAACTCCCTACCCCAATCCATCAGACTGTCGCCTACCCTCCTCACCTTCAGGCACACCCTGAAAACCCCTCCTCTTCAGGGAAGCCTACCCCACCCTCGCCTAACAACTAACCTCCTCCACTCCTCCCACCACTCCATCCCTCACAGCCATCTCCTCCTGTGCCACCTTCCCCTCCCTCCTAGATTGTAAGATCCAAAGAAGCAGGGCCCTCGAACCCCTCGTGTATTGTTACTGTCTTGTCTCATGTTCTGTCCCCCTTGCTAGTGTACAGCGCTGAGCACACCCTTTGGCACTAAATACTGTATAATAATAATAGTGCAACGATGGGCACTGATGTGCATTG